GGTACAAAAATAGATTCTACTTTATCTAATTTGGAGATGAGAAATTTCCATTCTTTGTCAAGTGCTTCAGGTAATGTTTCATCCCAAGACAATTTTGCCTTAAAGAGTTTCTGTAAAAACACCTTCAGAGGAGTAGTCACAGGTGAAATGAAACCTTGAGGATCGAATACCTTTGCAACTAGCCTCAATACATTGCGCTTGGTAGGAATCAATTCGGCAGCGAACTTTGCAAGTTCTGACAGCTTGAACTCAAAGACATCCTCTTCGAGATCCCAGTTTAGCCCTAAGACCTTTACACATTTTGATTTGTTATCAATTTCTTCCATAGATAAACTTGACTTCGCAAAAGATTGGTTTTCTTCTGTTGTAGGTAAAATGTTTTCTATGCATTCGCTAGAATTGGATTCAAAATCTTCGATTTTGTCCCTAACTTCTTTAGAGTTTGACTGCCATTTTCGGAGTCGAAAACCTCCTTCAAGCATGAGGTTTTTAGATATTTCATAAAGATTTAAAACTTCTTCGATAGAATGTCCTCCGGAGTTTACGTCATCAGCATAAAGCGAATTAAGAAGTTTATTACACACCTCAGGGTAATCTGTAGAATAGCTTTCAATGTGCTTTTTCAAGGTTGCATTTAGCAGAAACGGTGAGCATGTAATCCCAAAAACAACACGAGAAAATCTGTAAGTAATAATTTTTGGCTGCTCGTCATCTAAACTGTCTACCCAGAGAAAACGAAGAACGTCCCTATCAGATGGGTGAACTGACACCATATGGAACGCTTTTTCAATATCTGACGTTAAAGCGATTGGGTTTAGACGAAACCTTGCAATAATTTCAGCGACAGTTTTAAGCAAACACGGTCCAGGGTAAAGACATTGATTTAACGAAACACCAGTTTTATCCTTCGCAGAGGCATCATAAATCAAACGCACTTTGGTGGTTTCTTTATCCTCCCTAATAACTGGGTGATGAGGGATATAGTGCGTTTTTCCAACTCCACCAACAAAATGAGAATCAACTCTTTCAATAATACCCCTCTTTTCTTGATCATTTATAATGGAATCATAATCGTTCAAGAGTTTTCTATTCTTTTTCAGTTTAGAATAAAGCCCAATGAGACGTTTTTGGCAAAGCTCGAAATTGTCGGGAAGAGTTGGGTGGTCTTTTTTCCAAGGAAGTTTAACCTGATATCGGCCTTCTGAAAATTCAATTTCGTCTTCGAAATCTTCGTAAACAGACAATTCGTTTTTTAATATTCCGAAACTTTCCAAGGTCCAAAATTTGGAAACTTGCTCCTCAATGGAAGTTTGATCTTGCATAACATTCAGAACATGAGTTGATTGGACGAAATTGGCGTGTGTTGCCGAAATGTCTGGGCACTGAGCTACAGGTCCTGACAAAATCCATCCCAGGGTAGATTCTAGTGCTATTGGAGATCCTGGCTCCCCCCGTATCGAACCACCTTGCATAAAATGCCAATAAAAATCAGAGCCTATAAGCACGTCAACCTCCAGTTGCTCGTTGTTTTCGGCGGGAAAATCTGCTAGAGGTAGCCCCTCAAGATGTCGATAATTGCTGGCAGCAAAATTTATTGGTTGGCTTTTCAGTGGAGAACAAACAATGGGTACAACATAAGCATTGACATACATATTAAGGTCGTTATAAGGACTTGTTACACAGAATTGCGTAATATCGCAAGTTTGTAGATTTCCTCTGTCGGACCCAAACCCATTTATCGTGAGAGTTTCTTGAGAAATACTGGGAAGGGCTAGAAAGTCCTTCAGCCTCTTCGATATGTATGACCGTTGACTTCCAGAGTCAAAAATCAAACGCGCGACGGTCCTTTGCCCGGGGTTTTCGGCCCTTGAAATATAGGCCTTGGCTGTCTGTAAAAGAACCGCATTTTTGCAGTCAACAAACATTGTAGTTGTTGCCTGGCCAACATCTCCTGTTCTTCTTTGCTGATGTGCTGCGCTAGATTGTGTTGGAATTATCGGATTAGCCGATATTGCACCTTGGCTTTCATTAGCGCGCGGCGGAAAGAGTGCTTTGTTTTCGCAAACACTAAGATGGTGTCTCTGTTGGCAATTAAAACAGCGAATGTTACTGGGGCAATATCTGGACAAATGTCCTTTCTTTAGACAAACAAAGCAACGACCTTGCTTTTTCAGAATTTCCTTTCGCGCTCGGGTATCCGTAATTACGTTACATTTAGCAGAAGAATGTGAACTTTTGCAAAATGAGCAAGTAATTTGTGCACCATTATTCAAAAGTGCCGAGGTTGTATGAGTATTTCCATAGAAATGAGAATTTCGACTTCTTGAACTGCCCTCTTTTTGTGCAACATTGGATTTCTGCGAGGT